ATGGCTGTCATGTAAAAATTACGAAAAAATGTGAGTGTATTCTTCAAAAGCGAATATTCCCAAAAAAACTATTGAGAAAAGATGCAGTTAAATGATTGCAGAGAATAATTTTTAAATTGCTTGCTTTGTTGACATATTCCACAAAGTGTTTCAAACTTTCACCAAAATATCAACAGTTTGTTTTCCTTCGTATAATAGACAGATGGAAACATTAATTTTTCATTTAGAAGGAGATACTAAAAAGTCAGAAAATTTTGCTACAAATTATTTCAAGAATCATCAAAATCTGTCTACTAGAATACCGTATGATTGAGAAAAAACGGCGTCAGCGATGGCTATGAAATGAAGATCGCTGTCATTTTATATGGGAAATGTCATCGATCGTCATTTCCCAGCCAACTGGACACTGTTTTTTTTTTCGATCATATGGTACAATATACATATAAAACTTACATTTTTAACATTATAATAAATATTTTATATATATTTTTTTATATTATACTTATAAAATACATCAAAATTTTAAGGTGCCCGTTTTTCGTGCTGGTGAGTGTAGATATTTGTATAAAAAATCTACAGATAGCTAGCACTGACTAAATGAAAGTGTAAACCGTGTAAACACATCTATACTAATATATAAAATCCTTAAGTGACTGACATACTGATTAATCACGAACCTGCTCAAACCAGTCAACGTAAGAAGCTCAATTTTGTCATACAGGTTGATTCTAGGGGATTTTTCGAAATTCCAGTTCCAAGAGGGCGAAACCACCCCTTAAATATTACAATATTTTTTATTTAAAAAACGGTCAAGTTTCCAAAAAAACGCTTAAACACGTATATTTTATTTTGTTTTTTACATATTTTAAGATTTTTTAAAAATGTATACAGGGTGTTTCGAAAAATCTGGTCATTGATTAATCACGATCCTGATTAAAGCGCTTGACGTAAAAAGCTGATTTTTGGAAAACAGATTGACTTTAGGGTGTAGAAGTTCCATAAGAAGAGATTTTTCGAAACTCGAATTCTAAGGGGGTGAAACTATCCCTCAAAGATCATTAAAAATTTTTTATTTATAAACCGGTGAGTTTTTCGGAAAAACTCTTAAACACGTATATTTTATTTTGTTGTTTTACATATTTTAAGATTTTTTTATAAATTTATACAGGGTGTTTCATAAAATATCACCATTGAGTAATCACGATTCTGCTTAAACTGCTTGACGTTTAAAGCTGATTTTTGGCAAACGGATTGACTGTGGGGTATAGAGGTTCGATAAGGAGGGGTTTCTCGAATCTCAAATTCCAAGAGGGTGAAAACGCCCCTCAAATATTACAATATTTGTTATTTAAAAAATGGTTAGTCTTTCGGGAAAACGCTTGGACAAGCATAATTTATTTAGTTTTTTACATATTTTGAAATTTTTTAAAAAATCATACAGGGTGTTACAAAAAGTTAGGTAATTTCTTAACCACGATTCTGTTTAAACGGCTTGACGCGAAAAGCTTATTTTTGGCAAACAGATTTTTCGAAAGTCAAATTCCAACGAGATGAAACTACCCCTCAGATATTACCAAGTTATATAATAATATCGCCATATTGTTTTTTCTCATGCTGACATAAATGTGAGAAAATTTTATCCAGTTTGTATGTTAATGGAAATTCTTGCTTTGCTTTATCATTACCATTACAAATGATTAATTCGACGCGAACGAAGTCGCTGGTACACGCTAATTAATTTATAAAATTGCACAAATTGTGTACAAAATATATTGCAACCGCAGGTTTGCATCAAACAATTTTTTATGAACTTAAGATCGTAACACATAGTTCTATTCTTTTTATATTTAGTACCCCTTATTTTTTTATAACAGCAATATTTTTACCATCTTAATTATTATACAACAAATTATATTTAGCAATTTCTTATGTGCTCAACTCTATTTATAATGATTTTGATTCTATCAAATTTTAAAAATAAAGTTAAATCGATAAATAAAAAAATCAAGACAGGTGTCACCTTATTACGAATATATTATGAAAATTGGCAAACAAAACTACGAAAAAAGTTTTTTAAATTAAAAACACATTTCATTTGAATTTGCGCCGGCGTCATCTCTGGCGACAAATCGTCCATTAATTTTAAAGAAAAATTACGATAAAGAATGATGAATGAAAATATGGTGCTTGAATTTTTCGGATATTTTTAATATCTGGAAAGCCGATCGATTCTATAATCAGAGATTACACCAACGAGAAATACTTGTCGTTTTCATTTTGAAATTTCTATTCTGAAAGTTGCTTGTTTATGTTATTTCCACGGGGTTATTTTATATCTATATCAAAATTGTTGATAAAGAATTAAACATCTAACTGACATATAACTTATTTAAATTGAATCAGGGCCGCTTTATCCATTAGGCAAGATAGGCAGCTGCCTAGGGCGGCAGGATAATGGGGGGCGGCAATTTTTTGGAAAATCAAAACAACTCGGAAAATAATATCTTCATAAATAAAAAAATACTGCCATGGTATCCTAATAATTTTGAATTATTATGATCAAATATTACATATTTTATCTTTTCCATCTATTAATCTTTAAGTAAGACTATTGGAATTTATAAATACTTGCGATTTTGTCCAAAACTTTGTACATTTTCAAAAGAATACTAAAATAAATAATAATAAAATTTAGCGTTATTATTATTATTTGTATTTGTATGCTTTTATTTTCACTATTCAGTGTTATAATTTTGTTTTTTAAGAGTTCACTTTTGACGTTCTTTTAAATAAAAATGTACAGGGTGGGTCGAAAAGTTGGCTACAAATGGGAAAATATACCGGGTGCGTCTCAAAAGTGGCTCACCCCTTTAACTTTTTTTATTTTTTTCAGATAAAAAAACGAGATTTGATATGTTAGTATATGACATAAATCAGGATTGATTGACGTATTCAATTGTCTTTGGTCACTTCCTATTTCACCGGAAATGACTATAACTTTTGATTTTTAAATGACACCCTCGGTATTTTTTTACTTTATCCGAGAGAAAATGACACTCTTAATCGAATGACATATCACATGTCAACTTCTGACATATTAGCTCAAAAACAATTTATATTTTAAATTCCAATCTAGAGTTTCAAGCAGCCTTGGAAAAATAGATTTGATCGTCTAATGTTATTTTTAGTGTCTTTATCTGGTCGGTTTAAATATGCCCAAATCATATTTTTAATTATATCTCATTTTTTTCAAATGGAACGAGGGTTGCTCATTAGCATATTTAGAAAAATTTTCTTACGAATAATTTGATACCACAAACTTGGTATTTCGAGTCAAATTGTCGTTATGTTATAATGTCAAATAAACCATATGTGAAAATTTACATTATGATATCTCATTCTATTCAGACTTCATAGAAAATGGCCCTCTGAATAGACTACATAACTTTTCACATTTTCTCATGTGGTTTATTTAAAATTTTAGCACGCGGTTCATAACGATAATTTGACTCGAAATACCGAGTGTGTGGTACCAAATTATTCGTTAAAAAATGCTGTTTCCAAATATTTTAATGAGCCACCCTTGTCCCATTGAATACATGAAAAAAAGGAGATATGATTAAAAATACGATTTGGGCTTTTAACCTTTCTTTTAACCGGCCAGGATAAGACACGAAAGACATTATTAGACGATCAAAACTATTTTTTCAAGGCTCCTTGATTATAAATTAGTGTTTTTAACACAGCCATGGCACTCTATATTGAAATTAAAATAAGTTTTGAGTTTTTTCAAGCGAAAACGTCAAAAGTTGACATGATATCTCATTCTATTCAGGGTGTCATTTCCTATCAAATAAAGTAGAAATATACCGAGGGTGCCATTTAAAAATCAATCATTTCCGGTTGAATAGGAAGTGACAAAAAACAATTGATTAATCTTAATCAATCTTCAGGGATCAATCTTAATGTATGTGATATACTAACATATCAAATCTCGTTTTTTATCTGAAAAAATAAAAAAGTTATAGGGTGGAGCTCCTTTCCAGACGCACCCGGTATAGGTATAAATTAATTATTAGATATACCTAGATTGCCTTAATATTAAATTTTTATTTCGGAGATATAACGAAAATTGGACCATTTGAATAGACATTGGTACTTCTCAACAGTATCAACAAAGCCAGAGAACAGAAACATACCAGAGAACTGGAAAAAACGTACAATAATTTATTAACTAGGTACTAGGTCAATAAACAGTCAAAGTATGCGGCTTCGTCACTTAGTGTCAAATTATATATTTTGATATTCTCATATCACATGTTGCCATGTCGCATTTTTTGCCGTGCATTTCCAGTGTGAAACCGCGCATATTTTGGTGGGCAAGAGTTGGGATGCCATGCGCAGCCCAAAACAGCTGATCGTTTGTGGTAATTCTCTTGCAGCCGCAAGGATTTGCATGATTATAAGTAGCGTGGGGACATAATGAATCCGAACAACTGTATTCATAATTTTTCGAGAAAAACAAATTAAATTCTAAAGAATAAATTCAACTATGCTATGTACCATAAATGATTGTAATATTTAAGATAAAAGTATATTTAAGGTAAATAATAACATTTATTGCTATTTTATAATAAATATAGTACATCAATTGACAACATAACTCTTCGCAATGTCGATATACCGCACGGCGCATGCACGCTTTATAGAAACTATAATTGCTGAGTAAAATTTCTGCAACTTTTCTTGCATGCAAGTAAAATGGCCAACCCGCTAAAGCAAGTAGCATGCTTCCCATACTTTCTGGCAGCAAGTCGCGAATCTTTGTACAAATTTATTGCAACTTTATAAAAATGTGTATGCCAAATTCTCCAAAATTCCCTTTTTTTTCAAAGAAATATGTACCATGCTGCATGTATTAGAAAAGGTACCTGTATGTGGAAATAATTTTGTTTGTTCATTTATAAATAGTTCTGACATGTCTTTTTTTTTGTTAACAGGGGATACTTATGAAGAATGTCCTAAGTCCCAAGAACAGCCCTAACTATACTGTTTGTATTGTTCAACAGGGTTCTTTCCACTCGGTAATATAATAGCAAATGTTTTTTCCATCGCCAGATAGATTGGCTTAAAGGAATTTATTGAGTTTGGTTTTTAATTGCTTCATAGTAACTTTTTGAGTTTACATAAAAATAACCACAGAACCTACATTCTTTTTTATTTATAATTATCCAATTTTCCTGAATAACTAAGAGTATTTTTGACTAACTAAAACTAAAATTTAGCTTTAAAATCTAAAAAAATGTAAATATAGTTCCGGTCAAACTATTGAACTATATATAAACGGGATTTGGTTTAAGTATTTAATACTCATTTCCAACTACAGCCTATTGCTGCCTTCCCGTTACCCTAGGCCACACATCTCGATTTAGAGCGTCATCAGCTTCTAGGTTACGAGCTTCCATTGCTTCCGTAACCGTTCCGTTCCAGGATTTTCTAGGTCTACCTCTCTTTCTTCTGCCCTGGGGAGCCCATTGAAAAACTTTTTTAGGCCACCTGTTCTCCGGCATACGCAGAACATGTCCAAACCAGTTTACGCTGGATTTTTCGATTCGATCTAGTACTGTTTCCTCTGATGCATTCATGATAAGCCTGACCTCGATGTTTGTCTTTTTTTCCATCCTAGATAAACCTGCACTTCTTCGAAGGTAGTCCATTTCAACAACTTGGATTTTGCGCCTCGCGCCTGCACTCATAGTCCATAGGTCTGAACCATAGCAAAGAACTGACTCCACCAATGTTCTTCCAAGTCTCAACTATTGAATTAAAATTAGAAAAAAGATAATATTTGTAGAATTGGTTTATGCCAAATGATCCCCTACTGATGAAAACATCATCATTGCATCTAACTATTTATTCACGAGATACTCGGATGTATGTCCATATGTAGGGTTTCCATATATCTGGATTTACCCGGACATGTCTGAATTTTTAAAGTATCAAATGGATTGGAAAAGCCTCCGGGAACCTAACCACAAAAACAATTTAACTTAGTAAAATATTTTAGAGTTCCATGTGAATTATTTTTTAGTTACCTTGTTGAATATTTTAGTCTCTACGATGCTACAGCTCTATACTTAACCGAGGCATGTTCGAAAGTACCCATTTTTATACTTTGGCGCTCAAATTTTTCGTTTTTGGTGCACCCCTGGAAAGTGAATGTTTTCGATTTATATTTTGTTGATTCCGAGGTTATTATTTGCATCCTATAAAAGTTCATAAATAAATTTATAGTTTCTTTTTCGCAACGTCCGGATTTTGTCCAGATTGCAAAGTTTATTTGTCCATCAGATTTCGTCCGGATTTCTGAGTTCACTTGTCCGGAATTTCCAAAAAACCTATCCATATGAAAACCTTAAAAACCAGTTCAAAACTTTAAAATATTGTAATTAAATTTTCTAATAATGCCTACATTATCTGTACTGATATACAGATTTGTATGAATTATTATGTATGTTTAGATGTTAAAAATATATTTGCAAAAACTGAATGAAAATTATTAAGAATAATTATACTAACCTTTTATTATATTTAATGTCAACAACCAAACCAAACCATCTCATGCAGTTACAAATTACATATTACAAAAATACTCCGGGTGCGTCTCAAAAGTGGCTCACGCCTATAACTTTTTATTTTTTCAAATTAAGAAACGAGATTTGGTATGTTAGTATTTGACATAAATTAGGATTGATTGACGCATACAGTTGTTTTTGATCACTTCCTGTTTCACCGGAAATAACTACAACTTTTGATTTTTAAATGGCACATGCGGTATTTTTTTACATTATTCGATAGAAAATGTGACTCTGAATAGAATGACATATCATATGTCAACTTTTGACATTTTTGCTTTAAAAAATCGTATTTTAAATTTCAATCTAGAGTGCCATGTGACATGGCTGTGTTAAAAACAATAATTTTTCATCATGGAGCCTTGTAAAAATAGATTTGATCGTCTAATATTTTTCGTGTCTTGTCTTAGTCGGTTGAAAGATGCCCAAATGGTATTTTTAATCAGATCTCATTTTTTTCAAATAGAACGAGTGTGGCATATTTGAAAAAAAGCATTTTTACGAATAATTGGGTAGGTACCACACTCTTGGTATTTGGAGTCAAATTGTCGTTATGAACCGCATGTTACAATTTCATATAAACCATATGAGAAAATGTCAAAAGTTGATATATCATATGTCATTCTATTCAGAGTGTCATTTTCTATCGAATTAAGTAAAAAAATACCGAGAGTGCCATTTAAAAATCAAAAGTTGTAGTAATTTCCAGTGAAACAGGAAGTGCCCAAAAACAAATGAATATGTCAATCAATCCTAATTTATGTCATATACTAACATACCAAAACTCGTTTTTTATCTGAAAAAAAATATAAAATGTATAGGGGTGAGCTACTTTTGAGACGCACCCGGTAGAGTGTCATCCACGTGTCATTGACAAAAACGGCAGCAACATACACAGCAATCTTCATTTCCATTTTTTTTTATCGTATGCAGTTTTAAACTTCCATAATATGATTATCTCCTTCTTTTAAGAGTTTTGGCCAAAGATATTTAAGTTGTGGCAAATAAATAAGAGTAACCTCTCTAATGATATTATGTTCTCAATTTGATATAAGTAGTTCGCGTTCTTCTTAACTTTATTCTAGTTATTATTGTATATAACGTAGACTGTAAAGTGTAGCTGTAACATAAGTAACGTAACTTACAAGTATCTGCATTGAATGCACTCTTCTACGATTATGTTGTTTATCTCTTGTTTTGTAAGGACACTATAGTTTACGCAATTATTAATAATCTATCTAGTTCCTGAAATAACATTCGGCATTGAAAATCCGTCTGAAGAACAGCCAAAAAGTCTTAAAAAAGTTAATCAATATTTGCGTCCGTGTGTATATTTGATTTGCACCAAGCCACCTAATTTATTTGTATGTCATAAAATAATTAAGTTTGGCCTGTGCTTTATTTGAAGTATCCTTTCTAAATAAATTACATTTTACTACAAATTCAGCGTTAAATTAAAGTCGGTGTTATGTTGTCAACAGTCTTGTGTCAACTATAGAAACGGTATCAGTTAAAATCAGTGTTGCCTTTTAACATCAAAATAATAAAATAAAATAATTTAGCACAAAAACAAGAAAAATTGAGTGAACAAAATATATAAATTTTGATTCAGCGTTCTTCAAAAATATTAAATTACCTAAGAAGATGTCTGCTTATGATGAATTAAAAAATAAGCAATTGATACAAGTTGCACCAAACAAATGGATGATTTCACCCTTTGACAATGCATATCAAGTAGGTAGTTGATCTTAGTTCATATTATTATATTCAAACAAAGCCCTAGGTACATAAGAATAAGGTTTAGTTTGCATGGTATTTGATTTTCCTCTTGTGATAATCCTCTTCAGATAATCGGATTCCATCAAAAACATAGAATATAAAAAATGCCAAATCTCGCAATACAATTCTTCCACTATAAAAAGTTGTGAGATCTCATGTAAAACCAAGTCAGTTTATTTTATGTAGTTTCTCTTTATATAGAAGGGTGCTTATAGGTGCTTATGCACCTATTCAACAATTTTGTAACAAATTGTTAGTATCAATATTAAACATCTTTATTTCCGTAATAATTATAATGACTTGGCAACTGCACGATATCTCTACTAATTAAAAAAAATTATTCTTTTTACTTGGTAAACGAAATGGTAGATTATTCTTTCTTAATTATGGTGCCGTGTAATTGCCAAGTCATTATACTTATTAGATACAGAAATAAAAATGTCGAATATTGATACTAACAATTTGTAACAAAATTGTTGTATAAGTGCTTAAAGAGAAACGAAATAAAATAAACTGACTTGGTTTTACATGAGATTTCACAGCTTTTTATAATGGAAGAATTGTATTTGAGATTCTCATTTATTTTTGTAGGTTATCCTCCTACTTTTTTCTCGGGTAATATATCATTGAAAATAATATTAAAGAAGATTGTCTAGGAATCATTCATAAGCTTTGAATTATTATATAAAGTCAGGTAATATCAACTGGATTAATTCTAGTTTTCTAACAACTTGTGTTTCCATATATACTCCAGGGTTGTCGCAACTAACGTCGCATCCCCACGCCTAACCGCCACCTGTTACGATCAAGAACATCTTCCTCTTCCAAGTTACGGTCCTCCATTGCCCTTCTGATGGCCTCATTCCAGGATCTTCTAGGCCGTCCTCTTTTCCTTTTTCCAGGAGGTGACCAGATGTAGATACGGTAGGGCCATCTTTGGTGGTCCATGAGTAGCAACTGTTCAAACCACTTAAGGCCCCTCTGTTCGACTCTATCCACTATTGTCTGTGTGGCATCCATTTTGGCTCTGATTTCCACGTTCCTAACTCTGTCCAGTTTAGATACTCTCGCACTGCGTCTCAAATAGTCCATTTCGAGTTGCATTCAAAGCTCGCTTTTGTTCAGCTTTTAAGGCCCAAACTTCACACCCATAAGTTACTACCGACTCCACTAGGGCTCTTCCAATATGTACTTTTGTGTTTGGTCTTATGTTTTTGTCCCCCCAGATGCCATTCAGTGCTCCTATAATCTTCCGCCCTTGTTCTATTCTAGCAGATACTTCTGTTTTGTCCAGTCCCTTTCTGGTTATACGTGCCCCCAAATATTTAAACCATTCAACCTGTCTGAGCTTTGCATTGTCAGTAATAAAAATGTCAAATTTATCATCTGAATTGGTCATTGTCTCCAACTTTCGTTATAACCCAAATTTCAACTTTAAAAATGTCATGATTTAACCAGTGCTTATTCAAAATCATGTTTTTGTCAATTTTACGCATATTTTATTATTTATCTCGAAAACTATAAGAGATATAGTCTAAAAGCTAGCAACGTTTTCGAGAAAGTATTTTAAGACGTCTGGCTCTTTGATATATATTTTACTATGCTCTCTGGAACACCATGCGGCCCGTCTTGCTGCCGATACCTGTTGCGTTCACTACTGCGCATCGGAA